CGAGGCGAAATGTCGAGAGTGGCTAGACACTCGATTGACAAAGTTGGTTACGTTGTGCATGAATAAATTATCTTCATACATTTTCAGTTTACAGCATTATCACAACGGAACATGGAACGAAATGCTCAATCTTTACGAAATGCAAGTAAAATAGTCAGTCTTTGGACGAAAATCTTTCAGTAATTCATAGTATATCTCGCCAAGGTTTTACTCTTAAATGCTTTAAAAAATCCGTGCTTGGATATTATATGACGTGCAAGAGGGTAAGAGAGAAAGACTGTAAAAAGTTATAACCTACCAATAGTGTTCGTATTGAAAAGTACTCGTTTTTTCCCCACGTTTCCGCCACAAAGGAACAAGCGTAGCTTAAAATGATGCAGTTTCCAGAACTTCAAGTGTGTTTCCATGCTTAAAACGGGGTCCATCTGGGAGGAATGAAATCTTCACGCTTGAAAAACGTGCACAATGTACTGTTCAGTTTGCAGATATCCTCCGAATACCACGTTTCTACATTAGCAAGGTAAGCTGCCCACCAGCCAAATGTGCCGGTGGACAAAATTAATCGATCACATTTCGATAAGACGCACATGTCCACAGCCGCAGACACAGGTTTCAGGACATATGTGTCTGCGGACGGCTTAAACTGTTTCTTGTTCCATTCATAGTCATCGCCAACAACAATAAACACTTTCCTCATATTTGCTGAGCGCGGTATGAAAGAGGCATTAATCACTTTAGCTGCAAATTCTTCATTTGCAGGCAAATGGCCGAAGTTTTGTTTGTCACTGGACAAAAGGTCGCCTCTTCGTAGATGTACGCCAAAAAGAACATCCGTAGTGCTCATATTCAGGACGAATCGTATGTTTCGCAACACTCTGTGACATTCATGACTTGTAACCCTTGAAAAAGTGAATTCTCTCCTTATTTCAGCATCATTGTCTAGAAAATATTTCCAGGACTGCAGATACGTACTGACAACATAATTGTGCCCACACTGCAGTCGTGTCAGTTCGCTCTTGAATATGCAACAAGGTTCTCCGGAGACTTTCGCAGCGTTATGAGGTTCAGCCTCGATGCGGTTAGCGGAAATCTGAAAAGCATCATATAGAATGTTCGAGGAGCAGATGAAACTTGGAGTCATGTTATTCATTCGAGCTAACCCAAGCATTGAAGCATATTCGAACATTAAATTGCCCAAACCTCCAGTGCAGCGTACCGCCAATATTCCACAATTTGGCCTGTCTTTTGATTCACCTTTTGCCGCTTCGAGTGCGAAACGGTCTTCAAACAAGAGTTCACCGGCAGGAAGTGGCGGTGTGGTTTCTGAAGTCAACCAGAATGCCGTGAAACATAATATGACCAGAATCAGCATCAACCTGTACCCTGGAAAAATAAGCATATAAAAAACATCAATTTACCAGAGAACTTCATATATTATGGACATCATACCGGTAATTGAATTTCTCATTCAAACTGACCAGAGCTTAAATCACCAGGCCTTCATTTACTAAATTAGTAATTTGCTGGTTATGCTTTACAATGATTTCTTCAGTGACCAGGCAACTGAAGGCGAACTTCGGCCCCAAACCCCATGCATCAACCATTATTGCCATAAATTTTATAAGCAACCTCTGGCTTAACCACAGAAGAGGCTGTTGGGCCACTGAGGTAGGATGAGGAAAGGGGCCGCAATATGAACCTGCTTTCCGGTTTCTAGCAGATGGAGCGTAAGAACACAGCAACGACTGTCGAAGATCGAAGAAACGACGAAAAGGTGTCAGTCAGAAAAGGAATCGCTATCCGTTCTGAATGGAGAAGACAGAGAGTTCAATGCCATTATGGCGCGTCAGAAAAAGTCCCATTGGAACAATACCGACAGTGGGAGACAACAGTCGGCAATTGGAATATATTGTTTCTCAAACGGAAAGACCAGGAGCTAGTTGATGAGATCATAAAGTAACAACTCGACATCGCTGCACTCTGGTCAACGAAATACGAAGGCTATAGAATTCCGAACCTTCGAGGTTAGAAGATACTCTACTCAGGTATCGGCATCATGACTCGCGCTCAGGCCGCTGTTGGTGTACGCGTAGAACCAAATTTGGCTCATAGAATCATTCAGTGGAGGTTTGTAAAAGGAAGAGTGAAGATCTTCTGGCAGAGGCTACAACAGGATAAAGTGTTCACCGGGCACAAAAGGTCTATGCGCCAAGTTTGGAGAGAGAACTTGACTCCTTGCTTGAGCAAGTGTAGTGTGCTCTGTACAGAGGCCTACTACGCAGTCCCTCACTCTATTGGGCCACGTAAATGCTTATGCCCGAACAGACACTGAAAAATGCAAGGGCGCGATTCGAATGAACCATCCTAGCGACCTCGAAAATAACCGCACGAAGTTACTGCAGTTTTATGCAACCAACGGATTGTCC